TTTTGCGTAAAACTAAAATTCATGCCAATATTTTTCCATGATTTATAATAATTGGAGTAATGCAAATGTATATTTTCTAAAAAAGTCAATTTTTAGTGAAATTTTGCCGGGAATGGGGCTTTAAATTTGTGGTAACCTTTGACCTAATACGTACGTAACGCTCAATAAACGTATGTACGAACGAACGATGTTTACCTAGGCTAGACCTAGCATAGGCCTACGAATAAAACCATGTGTTTAGTGTTTTTATTCATCACTTTACGATGTCATAATAAAGTGTTCAAATAAAACCATGTGTCTAGTGTATAAAATCATTTTATATCTTTTATTTAACTAAAATAAAGAACATGAAAATATTGTAAGATTACCTATACGACAAAGGTATAACTTGGGAATTCCCCTTCATGCCTATTTTAAACAACAGAGCTGTGTGGTGTTGTCTAGGCCTGTTGAGACAAACTAAAACCATGTGCGCTGCACTGGGTGAGCTAACCAATTAGCGTTCGTGTACGTGAAACAGCAACCATGTGCTATGCACTGGGCGAGCCAACCAATTAGCATTCGTGTACGAAACTATGTCTACCCAGCTTTGTGTAGAAAATTCGACCAGACAAGTTCTTCCATGGTTTGCCACACGAAGCTAAGGAGGAAAGCAACTATTTTGAGCACCATTGGTAGTTGTTCATCTCACTCAGTTCACATGGTTTTAGATTATAACAACCCGGTATTAGACTCAATCAACGTTGCTGTTTAATGAAAATACGTTGCATTATGGTTTGTTTATTGTTATAGTTTATTGTTATAGTCGTTTTACTTATGGTTGCTTTGAAAACGGCCGTTTGTTTTGAATATTTTCGGGGTTTTTGATGACGTCATCGTCGATACGAGGCGTACGTAAAACCGAGGGTTTGTATAACTGGGGTACGTAAAAACGAGGTTCTACTGTACATTCATCAATGAAAAAAGTTGTTCTAATGCTGCCCTGGCTCAGCAATTTGGATAACCTATAAAAGTACCAACAGCATGGTATAAAAAAGATGAAATTGAGAATGGCATTTTGAGGTGAAATTTGAAATATAAAGATGTTTACGTTTACCTATGAAAAATTTGATATAGCATACTTTACATGGATGACAGTACTAACAACATCCAGCCTTTTTTGTCAACAAAATGATCTATTGTTTGCAGGTAATTATAGGTTTATTATAATATAGACACCCATATTTCAACAAAAGTTCATTATTTCACAATTAAATGATCAAATATGTTTAGGATTTTAACTTACATTAAAAAATATTCAAAGATGAGAAAATTAGGGTCCACTTTTAGACACAGTAGTAATAAATAAAACACTTACTTTCAACTTCATCACTATTGTGTTTATTACTTGAAATGGCTGAAATCAACAATAATTAAAGCTGACTTTAATACTTCCAAATATAAAAATAACAGTTTATTATTAAATTTATATTTTAAAAAATATTTCAAAAGATGAGCAAGATAAAAATGGGGGTCTGCTTGCAGACACAGTAGCTATAAAACACTTACTCTGAACAGCATCAACTTCATCACTATTTTGTTTATTAGTTGAATTGCCTGAAATTAACAATAAAGTTCAACATGAATATGAAATTGGGCTGATTTATGGTTTATTATTACCCAGGCAATCTACTGTTCATAAAAGAAAATTCACCTTAATAGGATTGGTCAATCAAGAACCATTGATGAAGATAACAAGAGTTATCAAAGATTTTGTAAAATGGTTTACCTACCTAAATTTGATTGTTTATCTCCGATTTGATTAAGTCCGACACCTACATCTGTATTTGGGATAAAAAATCAGATGCAAGTACTAAATTCAATTTATATTCACACATTAGCGAAGTTCTTGGAAATAATCCCACATATTTGTGATACAACTTTCCATCACAATGGCAGCACAATAATTCATGCTTGGTCATAATCAAGGCACTTCAATCAACTAAATGCTTTAATTTGCTAAAATATGATATATTGCTACATACCTTGTGGCGCATTTGATAATTTGGAACAACAGTTACAGTTGAATATAACATTTTTTACCGTATTCCAGTTATTCTCTGGTGCTTAAAAAAAAAAACCAATATGATTTGTTACTATTTCAATTTTTTCTCATTTCCGATATTTAAATTAAATAAGTAAAACGATTAAAACTACAATTCTTGTACCTTCTTTTTGAGGATTCATATTATTTTTTTTCAATTATTTAAGTTTTATTTGCTCATGAAAAACATAACTAAAGGCTCATGAAAGCATAAAAAAAAAATAAAAAAATTGGCAGGAGGTTAATGTTCCTGGTCTTTGAATAAACCTCAAATAAGAATATGGCAGAAAGAGACAATGTATTCATTAGGCAAGATTTTTTTAAAGATCGTCATGGGAAGGCGGAAAAAAAATAATTTTGCACATCCATTGCAAAACATCCAAATGGAAGAGAAAATAAAAACACTGAAGTAATGGGATAGGCAAAAGCTTCAATTTTATATAATTAGGATGAAATATACATAGTGTGTGATTTTTGGAAATTTTAAGGCAGTGGCAAGGGCAATAGAAATAAAGAAAAACTTAAATTTTTTTTCTTTTCTTTCCTTTCCTTTTTTTTTTAATTTTTGGTTTTTTGGTGCTAGTTGGTGTGTTAATTGGCCAAAAAAATAAGTTTATTTTTATTTGAAATCATCATTATTGGTGGACAGCGAGTTTGCCTTCCGTGGCAGCACAGGCAAAGGCTTGATCCGTGGTATTTTCAGAATACAGTGACGGATCAAGGAGGAGCCCCACTCCTCCCAGGGAGGAGTGTAGACCACCTCAGCCCAACCATGGTTGGGGCTTAGGTAAGCAAAATGTAGTTGGCCCGAAATGGCACTCTCAGACTTAAATTTGAATATAATTCTCTTTTTCCTCCACTTTTAAATTTTGAAATAAATTAGGGAGGGTGGGCCGGCTAGTTCCCTTGAATCTGCCACTTATATTTTTCATGCAAACTGACATTCATGAAAATTATGATTTATTAGCTACTGATAAGATTTTGACGTATTTGAACCATGAAAAACAAATAAGATAAACTTAAAACAATCACTCTAACTTCTATAGTTTCGTTGCATGTACAGTACTTTTAAAATCTATCAAGAGGATTTTTCTTCTCTTTCTGAGTTTCACTTTAGTGCAAGTGTGTTGCGACAACATTATTGTGAGTGGAAATACTACCATCAAATGTGTCAAACTAGGGACATAGGAAGCACATAAAACATTAGTTAGCATATTTATTTCACTAATTTATCATTATCATTGCGTCATGGCAAGATTGCGTCAACGTAACATCGGAGTTCATAAACTTGTGGTGTCACTACAAAAATAAGTAGAAATTGATATATCTATCTCTGTTAAAGGCTATATAATTATTGTTTATAATGGCTATATAAAATTCAATTGACTAATTGCAATGTTTTGGAATGAAGAAAACATTACCTGTATATACAGGTCTTAATAATATACAAAAGAAATAAATTGTTTATAGTAGAAATTGTGCACCTTTGTTAGCCTAATAGGTTTACACGCTTCCAATTCTAACAACGTACAGTACATTGTTTTCACAATAAATTTAGCCTCTGATAACCATTGCACACATAAAATTGATGGAGTGGTTACCGAGATGGTTACAAAATGTACAAACAATTGCATTTTTAATCGGTTTTGGTCCGGAAATATAGTACAATTTTAAATAGAATATTTAAAAAGAAAATCCTTTAAAAATGTAATAGCAGTTTAACATTCAATATAGTACCCATGTGGGCCTACTTGTTTTTCTCCTCCCCTTAATGCTTTTGGCAGACCGTTTGCTAAATTTTATTTAAATTCTTTTGCCCTAGCCTGTTGATCTTTATGTACAATCTTAAAAAAAAATGTTTAAAAAATGCCTAAAGTCAGTTTAGCTCAGTGGGTAATTACCCATATTTTATTTGGTGTATAAGTAATAAACATGCTTAATGCAGAAAAAAAAAAAATAAGTTGAACTTACTTTTTTGTTGGTCATCATCATTTTCTATAAAAAAAAAAAAATAAACTAAAAAGTACACAGGCACTTGTACAATACATTCAGCAGATATTGATATTAAAGACCATAAAACGTGCTAATATATTATGCTTTTCCTTCATTCAAACGCAAAAATGTCAGGGATTAAAGAAGCAAGAAGGAATCAATTTTGGTGTATGCCTAAGGCCAGGTTAAAAAAAAAAGTAGTTTCTCGTCCTAATATTTTGAAAAAAGGAGAATAAGGGCATTTTTTTGTTTTACACATGTGCATTTAGACCACAATATTAGTGATTGGCAATCATTTGGATAGATAGGCAAATCCAAGATGGTCAATGGGAAACAGCTACTACTTTCTCACTTTTACCAAGTACTGTAGACACATTGAAAGCAAAATAAAAGAAGCACTAGACATGATTCTTACCAAATGTATTTTATGTTTTCAGTTTTTGTATTTTATTTTTTATTTTAATGGTGGCCACATCTTAAAGTTTTTCTTAAACTTATTGTGGTCTCCATCCACATAGATTTTTTGAATATGTTTGATCATGTATATGTATTTTTTGTTCATTATGTGGAAAATAAATAAATCAATCAATCCCCAACCACAAATGATCAGAGAGGAATTTTACTGAAAAAGACAAATATATCTTACCAAAAAATGGAAGGTGTTCAGTCCAAAATTTCTTAAATTTTTTAGTCCAACAACAGAAAACTTGGGGGAATAGTTTACAAGCAGCAAGTAACACCACTGAAACATAAAAAATGAAATCTTTTTTTATTATGCAAGAATAGACAATGTTCTCACAAGATACAAGATTCATTGTCAAAATATCATTACATGTTTCTACACATTTTGTGGGACCTTAGCAACAATATTCAAGGGTCTTACACCGGTATGCTTAAAACGAACCTTAGTCACAGTTTGGGCTAAAACTTCAAAATTACGTCAACTTTGACTAGCACTACGACTAAATCACACGAACCTCAACTAAAATGATACCTCCACAGGCCGATTTAAAAAAAAAAAAAGAAATACGATTGTATAAGTAGGTCTGGTGAATCTTCAGTGTGTTCATGTGTGTTTTGCAGAACGCAGTGGCATAAAGCATAAGCTATCAAGAGGCAAAGCCCTGGGTCCCAATTCTGCTAATACACAGCACTCTTTTAAAAGTGACTTGGCAATACCATAGTAAAAGATACCCAAAAAAATGGAATTTGTAACTATGGATTAAATCAGTATTTGGAGCTTGAGAGGAAGGATACCATAAGCGATAGTGAGTGTGGATTGGATTTATTCGGTATAAACACCGAGGATACCCCACGAAAGTGTAGAAGATGACATATTTCCAGTGGGGTCCTTCTGGTGGTGATTGGGCAGTACACTGGGAGACAATCCACTACTCTTTTCCGAAGAGTGTACTGCATTCTTTAACGTGCACACGGGCCATCAATAAACACGGGACCAACGGCTTAAACGTCTCATCTGAAAGACGGTGCACTATCGTAACTTTTATTTCAGCCCTCCAGCTGAAATACAAGGAGAGGCAGTGACGGGAATTGATCCGGCGACCTAGAGATCTCCACGGTTCAGCGCACACACAGTGGCTACCACCAGACTAGAAGCTGCTCTCTCCAACAAACTGGATGTTGGAAATTTTGTTAAGAGGATGTGAATAGAGAATTAACGCAGTGAAAACTGGGAGTTTAATGGGGGAAAATTAAGAGTGTCCGATACCAAGTTTAAATATTGATAAAAGCCTATTGATTGAAGTGGTTCCCATAATTAAATTGATTTATTATTTGCCTAATTTAAAAGAAAAGCAGTTAAGACCAGGTTAAATTTATTAGTGTTAATAAATTAATATCTTTAATACTGTTGTTTTCCCTTCCAATATAGTCTAAAATAGCCTGTACAGAAGCATAGTGACATAATATCCCATGTGTGTAGTATAAACTTTGTGCCTTCACTGTACTAGTACTGATGTAGACAGAATTCATCATATAAAAACATAACTCCCCGTGTTATAGTTAGGATGATGATTATTACAACAGTTATAATTATGAAGGGTAATGACAATTATGTTAATGTTATGGTGTTGATAATGATCATGGAATAATGATGTTCATGATCATAATAGTGGTAATGTTGACGAAGTTTTGGTAACTGACAGATGGAAGTAACAGCCATTGCTTCTCTTTGTCAGAAAAGATTATGGTTGAAAATGGATTACTTCTGTGGTAAATAATGCAACTAAGTTGGATTATTTATATCTCTAAGAAACAAAAATTCTATAAAATTACACTTACAACTTCTGAAAAAAAGAAGCTCCTTTTTGTGATAAACATATCTACAACCCTATATTTTCTTTTTAATGATCTGTATCTTAGAAACTAGTCTATATATAAACAACTTCTTTTCATCTGAAATTTTAACAAAAATTGTCACTGTGGATTGCTTCCTTCTATCAAACAAGGGGGCAGAAATTGTAATGATGACAATGATAATGTTAATATTATAAGTAAAAAAAAAAGGATAATGATAGTAATGATGATGATGCTGATTATGACTATAATTTTAGCTGTGAATAACAGATATGATAATTACGTTATTGACGAAGATGTCGTTGTCAATGACAATGATAATTGATGTGGATAACAATATTAACCGAAAGGTCCACTGATTAATCTCAGATAAGAAAGTATAATACATACTCCAAGTATTGAAATACACGCCATCGTGTTGGGATTCAATATTTTGACATTAATTATGTCATCATCAGGAATCAATGATGACATAATTAATGTCGTGCCAACACGATGGCATGTATTTCAATACTTGGAGTATGTATTATACTTTCATAACAATATTAATTTGTGATAATTATGGTGACGATGACAATGATAATTACGGTAATTATGGTGATGACAATGATGATTTGATTATGATAATGATGATGTTATTGTGATGAAGCCAAAATAAAAAAAAAATAAAAAAATAAAAAAATAAAATAAAAAAAATAAAAGACTTGGGTCAAACCATAGCAGATATATTTTTCTTGGAAGAATGATATTGAAGAGCACACATCCAATATATCTAAATACAATACCTGGACTCAACACAATAGGAAGCCAAAATTCCAGTGATTTCCAAAAAGGTTTATCCTTAGACTTGCTATCTGTTGCAGGCGAGACCATTTTTGATGATGTTGTGACGATATTTTCCGTTGTAACTGGGTTGATCTTGGTCTTGTCATTGGCTTTAGCAATAGAAAAAAGAAAGACTTGTGTAAAACATAAGGCAAAACAAACCTTTAGTATGTTGCCCAAGCAACAGAGGAAGTTTAATTCTTAGTGGTCCAACATACCAATGGTAACTAAAGAGAAAAAACCAAAATCCAAGTTTTTTTTAAACAATAACAATGTTTTTAGGCCCAGAGATTGTCAAATATTGTTTTTCAATATACATACTAAATGAAAGGAACTCTGTCACTCAGAGTTCTTTATCTAAAACAAACTTCTACAAGAAATTACTTTTTTCATCTAAAACAGTTTATTAGGTAATTTCTGACTAAGGAATAATCATATAAATCCCAAACGTCTTTGTAAAGATAGATCTTGTTCTGTTTTTGGTAAAATATATTTCAAAATATTTATTATATTTTTCACGAATTTTTACTACTGTACAACTTTCTGTTCTGACTGTAGAACTGTATGCCACAATAATAAAATTTGTCAAAACTCTAAATATTAAGTGCTGTGCAGAAACAAAAAAAGACGGTACGGTAATTGTTATTGGCCCTACTGTTGGGCCTAGCATCATCACGGCAATGCCAGTGACAAGCCAGAGCCAGTAAGCATTGTCCAAGGTAAATATCTCTTGACCCAGGCCAAGGAGCACTGCAGCATCGTTGATGATTGGGGGGAAATGTTACAGTACTCTGCTTCACACAGGATGTGGCTCGCTTTGTCCATTCAAAGACTTTATTATTTAATTTTGATTAGTTTAAAAATATATACGTACTAAAATATTTTTTATTTAAGCCGTTTAAGCTTATGCTTAAAGGAAGCCTACCTTTTAATGCCTACTGTACTGTATGCCCAGGCCTTTTTTAATGACATAAACAAGCCTCTAAGTCTAGGCTAGGCCCTACTATATGCTATTTATGATTAAAATATAATTTAGACAAATATTTGTTTATTGGCCCACAAACTGATGATAGCCTGTTGCATGCATACATAAGTTAGGTTTAGTTAATTATAAATTTCAACTTCATTGAAGAATATTTAAAAACTGAAACTCACTATTTTTTTCTGTACTAAGAGGTGAGTTTTGTGATGGTGTTACTACTGAACTACAAACACCTTTACAATAGGATTCTTCATTGCAAGTGCTGCAATGCAGACACTGTTGTGAAGGACTCCTGAAGTGGTTTAGTTTACACTTGCATTCTGCATTACTTTCTAATGTACAGGGCTTCAGTTCATCCTTATTTGCCTGTGTGATAAATATCAATGACTTATTGGCATAGATTGTTTTTTTTTCTGATTTTATTTATTTAATTGTAAGCTAATAACTTACTGTGAATATTAAATATAAAAAGTAAGCAAATATTAATTTGGCGATTATTGAAATTGAAGGAATTATTGAAGCAAGTTATTCAAAGCAGGGCATCTTCTGTACTCAAATAAATATGATACTTGCAAACATACATACAAATGTATGATTCTACTGTATTTATATTATTAATTTTATTTGGCCAATAGCAGAGCAAGTTAATGTTCAGGTGATTAAAATTTTATACAAAAAAAATTTGTTACATATAGATATATTAAAGCCCCATTCCCGGCAAAATTTCAATTTTTAAGAAAAATCTAATTTTTGTATAATGTCATAAAGATTTATAAATATAATACGGAATTGCTAGTTTAACTGAATTTAGACATTCCTAAGAATGAAAAAAATGTAAAATAAGACTGAAATTTGATTTTTTGTGTTCCACACAAAAAATAAATGCGGATGAATTTTTAATTTTGATTTTGCGATAGGTCGTGCGCAGAAATAACGTAGGCGCCGAAAACATTAGCCTATCCAACGCTGCTAGGCTAGGCCTAGCCTTACCTCGATTTAGGTTCTGTTATCACACATAAAAACGGCCGAAATTATATTTTCCGTTGCTAGTATTGACACTTGTGAAATATAATATTTCATAGGAATTATTTCAAATTTGTTAAAAAACTGATTTCGACTGAGATTTTGACACTTAAACAAACATATCTCAGCCAAACCGAACGACCGCATTGTGCAAGATGCGAAGTACAAAACCTAATCTCTTTAGAGAGGGCGCACTTTATTGACTGTATAAAGTATACATAAAAGCGAGAGTATTCCAGTGGATGCGATCTACAACCTCTGAATTTGCCTAGTAACCATGAATTCGTCGAGAAAATGGTAATATTTTATGAGAAATAGTCTGTATTTCTCTTTTTTTTTTTATTCTTTTGCGTAAAACTAAAATTCATGCCAATATTTTTCCATGATTTATAATAATTGGAGTAATGCAAATGCATATTTTCTAAAAAAAGTCAATTTTTAGTGAAATTTTGCCGGGAATGGGGCTTTAAGTATTATTATCACGGCAAGTGAAAATACAATTCCAAACAGACAAGATATATACTGCCCTAAATTGTGTAATAATAATATTTCACAGCCTTTTATTTTCACAATGAAATGTTTTCTTGAAAATTCAGTTTCACCTCTCCATTTTCAACATGCAGAAGCCACGACAGTTTCTAAACTATTCATACAGGTAGTCAATTCTGGCTGCGTGGTTACACCTAGACCAATAACTGACTGGCCACTCACTAGAAAATACCACTTATAGTACTGCTGATGCATTGTGAATGTTTTATCAAAATCTTTATTGTTTGAATATTTATATAAGAGACAGATATAATACGGAATTGCTAGTTTAACTGAATTTAGACATTCCTAAGAATGAAAAAAATGTAAAATAAGACTGAAATTTGATTTTTTGTGTTCCACACAAAAAATAAATGCGGATGAATTTTTCATGTTTGATTTTGCGATAGGGCGTGAGAAGAAATACTGTAGGCGCCGAAAACATTAGCCTATCCAACGCTGCTTGGCTAGGCCTAGCCTTACCTCGATTTAGGTTCTGTTATCACACATAAAAACGGCCGACATGATATTTTCCGTTGCTAGTATTGACACTTGTGAAATATAATATTTCACAGGAATTATTTCAAATTTGTTAAAAAACTGATTCTGACTGAGATTTTGACACTTAAACAAACAAATCTCAGCCTAACCGAACGACCGCATTGTGCGAGATGCGAAGTACGAAAACTAATCTCATTAGAGAGGGCGCACTTTATTGACTGTATAAAGTATAAATAAAAGCGAGAGTATTCCAGTGGATGTGATCTACAACCTCTGCATTGGCCTAGTAACGATGAATTCGTCGAGAAAATGGTAATATTTTATGAGAAATAGTCTGTATTTCTCATTTTTTTTATTCTTTTGCGTAAAACTAAAATTCATGCCAATTGATATTTTTCCATGATTTATAAAAATTGGAGTAATGCAAATGCATATTTTCTAAAAAAAGTCAGTTTTTAGTGAAATTTTGCCGGGAATGGGGCTTTAAATCAATCACTATCACAAGGTTTGAATGAGGTTTGCAGTGTTTTTTTAAGGTTTGCGGTGTATTTAAAAAAAAATCAAGATTTTACCCAAAAAATAGGTTGTGAACATAAAATTATTATTTTTTTTTTGAGATACTGTACCAAGTTGAGTCGTATACTACTTGATTTGAAAATTTGGGTTGGTCTCCAATTAGACGGCTAGCTTTGTGTTAAAAGGTTGAAGATTGTTATTTGGGTCTTTGGAAAAGTGGTCTCGAATTAGAGGGGTATTGGAATTAGAGGGGTCTCAGAATTAGAGGGGTCTCGAATTGGAGGGTGCACTGTACCTTAAATGCATTTTACAGAAACAGGAAAATAAGAGGCAAGACAAGTAAAGAATTATTATTAATAAATATTAAACCACTCTGTGAACATTGAACTTTACGGAGGCCGGCAAATACACTGTACAAGGATTGCCTTATTGAGAGTTTATAGGCTATAAAGATTGGATTAGAACCTAAAGGAAAGAGACAAGCAATGTTAAGATAATGAATTATAAATCTGAAGTTTACCAACGCCTGTAAACCCTCCCCGCAGTCTCCCTCCTCCTCCCCCAACAATGAGGCCATATCCTCATCGGTGAACACAGGCAAATCAGGGAGATTCTCAGTAGGAAGAGGACGAGGGTGACAAACGGCCGCGGCCGACAATAGCACAGAGGCTTGCAAAGCAGCCTGCACTGCGGCCAAAATCGCTTGCATGACCTCGGGAGCCAAAACAACCCCCGACGGCTGGGATCCCGTTGACACGGGATCCGAAAGCGCAACAGGAGGTGGCGCGGAAAACGGCGTAGCCGAGACCGACGCGGACGCACTCATGCGGGAACCGGTGCCTCCGGTCGACAATGGTCAGCCTGCCAAGCCTTAATGGTCACAAATTGAGACGCTGGCCAACTTATGCAAATCTCACATGGAGAATCCGCGGAGCACCCCCTGCAAGCAGGGCAAACCTTATGGTTATCGACCTTCGGACTAGGCCGAGGGCCCCGACACTGAGGATATTCCGACTTGCCGGCCATGACGACAGAACACAATATCCACAGCAAAAAGATAACAATCCAAGATAATAATCCAAGATCCAACAATGATAACTCTGTAACGTATCGAAAAAGAATGAGGAAGTTGCATTTTTGCGGGGCCGTTTGTGCTTGGCGCCAGGAGTCGTCTGTTCTATTATTTTTCGAGGGTGTTTCTCGAGGGAGAAAGAATAGGCAATTAGTCGGTTTATCCAGGTAAGTATTCACGAAGTAGACTACTTTAATAATGCAATAAAGCAGTACAAAAATAAGAAAACAAAGAATTCTATTTTTATATTGAATATTTTTGATGTGAAAGTTTCAAAATAAATTTTAATATTAATAATGTAGTTTTCAGTAATGTATTTTTATTATTTTAGGAATGTAATGCAATTTTCAATGTGTAAATATTCCATTCATCACCTAAAGTGTATAGTATTTTTAGCCAAACTTTTTCTAATAACTTTGCTCTTAATTCAGTTCTTGCTGCAAATAAGCGCTTTTATGTACATGTATTTATATCTATATACAGTATGCTTTTTTTTTTATGTGAATAAAATAACAAAAAAACATAAATTTGCTTTTTTTCTATGTGAATAAAATAACAAAAAAACATAAATTAGCTTGTGTTTATTTAAGTAACCTTACCACCCAACAGGCTCATTTCCCAACCTCTAGAAATCAAAATTTTCTCAGGGCAGTACCCCCCCCCCACCTTTGACACCCCTAATTTGAACCCAGATCTACTACTGTATAGCAAGGTACTCACAACAATTTACTGGTACCCATTAATACACCTAGGTAAACAGATGCAATGTAAATAAAGTGTCTTGCTCAAGGACACAAGTTAAATGCATAGTGAGGAATTGAACCCAGACTTTGAGGTTGGGAAACAAAACAGTTCATACTGGGCAAAACTGCTATTAACATTCTAGGAGAAATATAAAAATCTATACTGTACTCACCTACACATTTTTCACAAAAATCGCTTTTAGTACAAGTACTTCCATCTTCACAGCAAGCCTTATTTAGCTGGTGGCCAGGTGGACATCCAGCTGTACATTCACTACTGGTGATTTGCCTTGTCTATTGTAAAGAATAGATTATAAATAGTAATGATTAATGATGCAAAGATACAAGTTATTTGATGAGAAAAAAGTTTTGGTAGCAGAGACTCAATTTCTAAATATTTTGTGTCTACTGCCTGTGTGGGGAAAATATAGACCATGACTGTTGGAGATGTCAAAATTAAATTTACCAATGATGGATGGCTAAATCAATTATTAAAGCAATTACAGTCCGGTTTTGAGTACACTATAAAAAATAGATAATAATAATAAGTAATAATAATAATAGTGTAGTCTTATATAGCGTACATACACTATTCATACATAAGATGCCCTTAAGGGTCACTTCGTGTCTGTGCTACGCGGTAACCCGGTACCAGCAAATCTCGTCATCCACCACAGGGGCTGTCTGTTTCAGTACTGTACACCGGGGTATCCCCCTACTTGTCTCAAAGGATGTTAGTTGGGTTAGTGCACACGAGCCATTGTATACACTGGGCCTACGGTTTATAGTCCTTATTCCGAGATGACTTGGTCTACCACCAGAACCACAGGTGAGCGTGCCGTTTGAACCAGCGCCGATATTTTGGCTCTAGCTTGTGGTGCCCCTGCTAACCGCTCACCCATTTGGTTAAAAACATTGAATCCCACAAGGTTGAATCAAACTTTTGAAGAATATTATTAG